CAAAACTACACAGAACTATACAAGAATGAGCTTAACGTCCCAGATAACCACAATGAGATGGTCACTGACCTCGAACCAGACATCCTAGAATGTGAAGTGAAATGGGCCTTAGAAAATCTGAGCAACAACAAAGTTAGTGGAGGTGACAGTGTTCCAGCTGAGCTATTCAAAATCTTAAAAGACGATGCAGTAAAAGTGCTACACTCAATTTGCCAGCAAATTTGGAAAACTCAACAGTGGCCATAGGATTGGAAAAGGTCAGTTTACATTCCAATTCCAAAGAAAGGCAATGTCAAAGAATGTTCAAACTATCGCACCATTGCACTCATTTCACATGCAATGTGAACTACCAGAAGTACAGGCAGGATTTCGAAGAGGCAGAGGACCTAGAGATCAAATTGCCAACATACGCTGGATCATGGAGAAAGCTAGGGAGTTCCAGAAAAAACATCTACTTCTGCTTCATTGACTATGCAAAAGCCTTTGATTGTGTGGATCACAACAAATTGTGGCAAGTTCTTAAAGAGATGGGAGTACCAGACCATCTTATTTGTCTCTTGAGAAACCTATATGCGGGTCAAGAAGCAACAGTAAGAACTGGACACGGAACCACTGATTGGTTCAAAATTGGAAAAGGAGTCCGGCAAGGCTGTATACTGTCGCTCTGCCTATTTAACTTATATGCAGAGCACATCATGAGAAAGGCAGGGCTAGATGAAACAAAAGTTGGAATTAAGATTGCCGGGAGAAATATCAACAACCTAAGATATGCAGATGATACCACGCTAATGGCAGAAAGTGAAGAGGAACTAAAGAGCGTCTTGATGCGGGTGAAGAAGGAGAGTGCAAAAGTTGGCTTGAAACTCAACATTAAGAAAACCAAAATCATGGCATCCGGCCATCTCAATTCCTGGCAAATAGATGGGGAAGAAATGGAGGTAGTGACAGATTTTATTTTTCTGGGCTCAAAGATCACCTCAGTTGGGGACTGCAGCCAAGAAATTAAAAGACGCTTGCTCCTGGGGAGGAAAGCTATGGCAAATCTAGACAGCATACTAAAAAGCAGAGACATCACCCTGCCAAAAAAAGTGCGTATAGTCCAGGCCGTGGTTTTCCCAGTTGCAATGTATGGCTGTGAAAATTGGACCATAAGAAAGGCTGAGCGCCAAAGAATTGAGGCCTTTGAACTATGGTGCTGGAGAAGACTCCTGCGAGTCCCTTGGACTGCAAGGCGTTCAAACCGGTCAATCCTAGAAGAGATCAACCCCAACTGCTCTTTAGAAGGCCAGATCCTGAAGTTGAAACTCAAATACTTTGGCCACCTAATGAGAAGGAAGGACTCACTGGAGAAAGGCCTAATGCTGGGAAAGATTGAGGGCAATAGAAGAAGGGGACGACAGAGAATGAGATGGCTGGATGGAGTCACTGAAGCAGTAGGTGTGAACTTAAATGGACTCCAGAAGATGGTAGAGGACAGGAAGACCTGGAGGAACATTGTCCATGGGGTCGCGATGGGTCGGACACGACTTCGCAATTAACAACAACAACATGTTATACTTGGAGCTGCCCTTGAAGACTACCTGATGAAAAATGTAATGACTCAACGGGCGAGGACTGCTGTAAAAATATTATTGGAACTATACTTTTATTTTCAGTGAAATTCAATCAACATGGCTTAGGTTCAGGATACATATAAAACCATCTCTTCCATAGGAAATCTTGCCACCCCATTCAATTAATCATATATTCTTCCACTTAATAAACTGAGGAGGGATTGAACTCAAAAGGAGGCCTTTTCAAGGTTACCCCATCACTATAGAATGTGTTTCTCAGTCCTACCTTTTCATAGAACAATGAAATTTTGGATCTTTAAGAGACCATTTGGAGAATTACAATGAATTATTTATGCAGTCATTCTTTCTTTATATTTATGTTATGATGGTGTGGATTTTTAATCAGTTTTATTTGGATGTTACAGGAGCAGAATTTCTAGAGATAAGTGGAATTTTGATGCTGGCAAACAGAGCAACAAACCACTGAATGAATAATCAATAGCTATAATGTCTTTATGAAAAGTGTAGCACATCTAGGATGTGTTTTTCTCAAATTCTGTAACCATGTTCTGCATTATTTAAAAAATAAAATACAAATATTCGCCCCTCTTGATAGAACGGAAATTGTTTTACATTAACGGGTTATCTTTTAGAAATGAGAAAGAGTAGTCATAAAAGGTAACATCACTCATAGTCTAGAAGACTCCATTTGTTGTTAGTAATTCATTCGCCCTGAAGTTTACAAGCTCTGAAAGTTGGAATGTTACATATCTATAAGTCAAGTCACGACAAGCAGTGAGACTCAAAAGAGATTTGATGGCCAGGGCATATGTGATGAAAAAGAATAAAAATGACTCTGTTGCCAATTGCCATATCAATCTAATATAGAACAGATATATATATATTTATATATTTATAAATATATAAATAAATAATCTGTTTTGATAAAGACATTATTTATTACCTATATTGTATTGTATTGTTTTTTAAGGTTGTTGTGATTTAAAAACCTCCTGGAGGGCTACTATATTTTCAAAAAGAAGTAAGAGACCATGTTGTCCAAAATAATTATCTGTGTCCACCAGTTTACTTCAAGCTATATGTCGCTCTGTGCCAGGAGATCTGTGCATTTTCTTGGTGGAGACAGTGTCTAATTTATATCTGAAGAGAGGCAACTTTTTAATAATATTTAAAGGGACTACACAGAATGAAATTTACTTATCAAAGAAGCTGTACTTAACCTTTTGTTATATCCACTAAACATATACTCTTTGTATGATATTTCCTAATCTTTGTTTAATCATTTGATTCTTCTAGCAATTATTATGAATACACATCCTCATTTTATTTTTAGAGTTATAGCCTGCTTTTCTTTCAGGAGCTCAAGGCAGCAAAGATATTCCTCCCTCCTATTTTTCTGCACAACAGGATCCCTGTGAGGTAGATTGGGGGTGAAAGTATGACTAGCCTCAAGTTACGTAGTCAACTTCCAAGGCCAAGGGTAAATTAGAAGTAGAACCTTGTGTCACTGTTTTTAGACAATGGTCCTAGGTAGATTAGAACATGAGTTTTTCCACATCTAATCCAACCATTATGCTGTATTAGTTCCTCACAAAGGAAGGAAGGAAGGAAGGAAGGAAGGGAAGGAGGAAGAAAGGGAGGGAGGAAGGGAGGGAGGAAAGAAGGAAGGAATTTTTTTTGCTAACCAAAATCTAATAGTTGTTCAGCTCAAGAGGTAGATCAAATTTTGTTTGAATGGTTATTTTGTTTTCTTAAAAAAACATAAACACAAGTATGTTTAATTCCAGGATATAGGCAAATTTTTATTGTTCTTTTGTTATTAAATCAAGTGACTAAATAATTAATAACCTAAACTCTTATTAAAAACTATTCAGCACAAAAATGTATTAATGCATCCAAAGAGCAAACCTCCAATAATTTCAATAGAAAAAAGCAAATATAGACATATCATGGAAATAAATGCATATTCTGAAAAAAAAACCCAGCTCATTTCAGGGAAAGTAAACTAAAAGAGAACAAAGGGAAAATTCAGAAGAACAGAGTAAAAAATGAGCATTTTGAATAAGAACAATTAATTATAAAATTATAAACTGAAACTTGATTTGACGAAATCTCTGGAATAAATCCTACAGAATATTTTCACTTTTTATTGTGTATGATACAATTATCCTGCAAATGTTATCTTCAGGATTATTGTCAGAAATTTTGTAAGACGGTGAAACCTTTTTCTGTTTTAATAAACCTTCAGTGCAGATGGTGGACTCGGGCTACAGTTAAAATGTTTTCTTCCTGAAAATGATGCCTGTTATTTATGTTTATATTTTTAATCAACCACCCTGAGTCTTTTGAAGCAGAATAGAGATACAGGAATGCTTATTTATGAATGTATAGCACAGCATCAGAGAACAAATGGCTTAAGTAACATGGCAGTAAATTTTTGAAGGAGAAGAATGTTTACTGCACATTCATAATCTTTCTCCAGAAAATCTAATTGAACTATGTTAGCTTGTGGTTTTCTCCCATTTATTTTAAAGATTACTCCAAACAAGTTTCTATACATCTAAAGACAAATAACAAAGCATATCTTATTGGCTTCTATACAATACAGACATTCCATTAAAATGATGGCTTCTGAGTAGTATATCAACTCACTAATGATTGTAGTACTTCAAAATTCTTCAATAACTTCTGCAGGGCAGCAGACTGGATAAAGCTTTTCTTGAATCAACCTATTGCTGCCCTTATTTGATTTTCCATAATTATACCGTATCTTATATATTATTTGCTAGCTACTGAATATCCCCTTAAATATTAAGATGAAAGTTGTATCAGCAGTTACAGTATAAGTTAGGAAAGCCTATAATGAGTAAGACCTCCACTCTACCGGTACAACTCTCAAAAGGCAAATTTCGTTATAATTAATGAGAAGTTCCTATCTGTACTTTCATGATGCCATTATTTAGAAGTTCATGAATCAAACACAACGAACATTGGACTCACACTCTTCTTTTTTATAGACATAAGGAATGAGGACATTTTCATCCCAATTAAAGCAGTTGCACTTGCTGTCCAAATCATAAACACTGGTTCATGTTAAGTATGTACATTTAAACAAGATTATAATTCATGCTGAAGGGCGGACCTTTGGATTTGTGAGTCTAAGAAATACCCACAGTTGAAAATGCATATATTGTGTTCTTCCACAAAAGTTATATGCACATGTCTATTTATGTAGTCCTAAATTTCCTTGATCATGTAAGAATTCTAAGTGCACTGTAATTTTTGCTTACTATTAGAATGCATACAAAATACAGTTAATTGAATTCATGTGGATTCAGGCTGGATATAAAAAAAATGAATCTAGAAATGAAGAAGGTTAAAAAACTGTAATAAAATGAATATATGAGTGGCCATGCAGACACTCACCCAGTGGTTGTCCTGCAATGATCCTGGCATTTTCTCCTGCCACAGCAGCTCTTGCATGCCTCTCACTCATGTATTGTACAAATGCATAACCTTTGTGCACTGAACAGCCGACTATTTTTCCATACTTTGCAAAGATTGCTTCTATATCTCCTTTTTTGACAATGGCTGTATTAAGATTACCAATGAAGACTCTGGAGTTGATGGATTTGGGATCATTCTTATTGGTGACATTACTGGTCTGTGTTTTGCCGGTCATGGTTGGCTCACTTGATTTCAGCCCTAGAAAAAAAGATGACAAAGGATTTGATTTAGTTGCATAAAACATGTATAGATTAATGTAAGAATTATAATCTAATAAGGGGAATAATAACATTTAAATTAATGTAAATAAAAATTATGAGGAAGTTATCATATAATGCTGATCAATAATAAGAAAAATGTACAATTACTAAATAACCATTTTAAATATTTTTTTTATGAACTTGAAATGTATAAATCAATTTGCTAAAATCAACAATATTCACTTATTTTAGATTGAATGTTCAGTGTCTGGCTTATTAAATATTCATCTGCCTTCATCATGTAAAATAATACAAGGTTTAGATACTACAGGTTATCATTTAATGATCACAGTTTAGACCAGCAGCTCCATCGCTAAAGTAATATGGTCATTAACTTTGCATGATGCAATGGACTTATGACCTCACTTCCACCATCGTTAAGCAAATAACCCACGGTTCTTAAGTGAGACACCACATGACCACGATTTGCAAATTTATTGTCAGCTTCTCCATTGACATACTTGTGAGAAGCCAGCTGTGAAGCATGCAAATGTTAATCATGTGATTAGAGAGACATTGCAATGGTTCTAAGTGCGAAGAATGTTTGTAAAGTTATTTTTTAAGGACTGTTTTCAACAGTTGCTAAGCAGGGCGTTTATTTAGTGAGAATGATTTATGAAGAACTATCTGTATAGATGAACTGAACAAGCAAATTGAACTATGATGATTCTTTACATGGTTCACCAAAATACACTGTATTTTCCAATTTATATTATAGAGTAAATACTATCTAAATACTATAGACTAAGAAATTTAGATATTAGAAACAAATGCTCTGACAATATTTCCATTAGGCTTCTTCACAGAATAGCTTTTGACATTAAATAAAGAAAAACATTAGTAGTTGGAATAAATGCTAATTTTCATTAGACCGCAAAATAGTTTCTTGTTTAGAGTTGAACCTGATTAGAGCGACTTATAGTACTTGTAAATAAATAGATAAAAATGTAGATGATATGGCTACTCTGTGATGATGCAGTTTATCACAGACAAAAGAGTTTGTCTTTCATCTGAGATTTATACTGAAATTAATATTCAAGTAATCCATTAACTATAGTGATATCATCTTCATCATGTTATTTCTTAAAAAAACTACGCAGGATGGAATGTATTTTGTTTAAATAAATAGAAATGTCAGGCACAAATAACCAGGAACAGGAGCTGAGTTCTAAGCACTAAGTTTGTTACATGCTACCTATACATAAAAATCTGATCTACTAATGGTCAAGGCAAATTGGCACTAGATAAGAGTCAATGGAATTCCCGGTGGCTGGAGTTAGGCCTCTTGTGACTGCATAAGGATTCCAAACTGATGATGCATTTGACCCTGCCTTTGGGCTCTGCCTGGTCATCTCCTACATAACAACTGTTACTTCTTAAGTTATTATTATCCTAAAATTGATAAACACATTCTGACAATTAGAAAATACTTCTGAGTACTTATGGATATCAGCATATGTTATTTTATTTTTGTCATCTTTATTTATTATTTTAATACTAAGGAGATAACTGTCTCCTTAAAGCATGGAAAGTCCTATCGGGCATCATAGTCACAAAGCTACAAGATGAAGCAGTACAAAAGCATGCCTAGAAGGGCACTGGGAATAACATTAAGGCTCAAAACACTTATTGCTCATAAATACAACAATTGTCCCAAAGGTATTGACATATAAATCTGAGCACAGCCTGGATTGAGTACAGGAAAGCCACAACTCAATGCAACAATGTATCATTACAACTCAATGCCACAAACACATGGTGTTTGAATGCCTTACACTATACAAAGTCAACATAAGGACCTTCCTCAAGAACTCAATGAGACTGTGGAAAACAACACTGAAAGTCAACTCAAGTTAATATGCACAAGTGGCCATCAAATGAGGCATATACCAAGGTGATGCTGATCTCGCTGCTGTTCCACATAGGCTTGAACCCACTCAGTCATTTAATCACAAGGACTGGATATGGATATAAGCTCAAAAATGGAACAACCATTGGTCAGTTCCTTTGCATGGATGAGTTTAAGCTGTATGCTAAGAATTGAACTGACACGGACGTACAGGAGGACACTGGGATCTTATTCAGATGTGGCCAGATGGTAGTAAAGAGAAGGAAGATAGTTCAGTCTGATGGGGTGGAACTACCAATGAGTTACATAATAAAGATACAGACTGGCTACAAATATCTTGGTATTCTACAGTCATATAGAAATGAAGCAAGGAATATTCAAGTACCTCCAAAGGATAAGACAGATCCTGAAGAGCTAGCTCAAGAGGAAGAACAAGAGTCATGCCATTACCACGTATGCAGTGCCAGTCATCAGATACCCTGCTGGTATAATGAGTTGGACAAAGGAGGGCATGAGGCTGCCAAAGTGAAGAACCGGAAGTTCCTCACAATTACTGAGACTTCAAAGTTGGGACAATGGCTCCAACAGATCCCAGTCTGTCCAGAAATGTGCACGGCTAGGAGTCAACAATGATGCAAAGACACCAGAAAAAAAAGTCATTTCATATAGATGTGAAAAGACACAAAGGCAAGATGGAAACTTCAACATATTTTAAGTTAATGGTAAGTTATCATGGAGCAGAATTCACTAGTATCATCTTTTTACTCTTTTTACTTTGGAAGGAACCATAAAAATTATAGTTCAGTTTTTCTTAAATCCAATTCTGACAAATTATACAGAATTAACAGGGTGGCATTTTCTATTCCAACTGTTCCTAACAATTTCCATCCCATAACCAGGAGAGAAACTACATTTTTTAACCTGGTAAGCAGGGCAATAATCCAAATCTTGAGGAAAAGTTTAAAATGTGATAAATTCAAAAAATAAATTGTAATATCCTCAGCACACAGAAATAAGCACAAAGCAAAATGTTATAAAACAAACATTAAAAGAGAGCTTCTTACTTCTTAAATATTGGCTTGATTTAGACTAAGTAGAAAAACTAAATGCTGGAGGGACATATGAAACTCTTTGTTGCCTCCTCTGATTTATTTCATCCAGAATAAATACTTAAAAATTGTTTCATATTCAGGAACATTTAAGTAGCCTTAAGAAATGTACAGCATAAGCTACAAACTTCCACTGACATATAAGTCTTGTTGAATTAAATGGGGCTTACTTGAAGATAGATATGTTTTCAGTTTAAAATAAATAAGCGAAGCCCAGACAATTCAAGGTTTTATATATATCATAATATCAAGATAATTCTTGATTTAAATCTTCCAGTGTTGTGACTCACATACATTTTAAATTCAGTATCATTTATGAAGGCTTCAAAGAAGCAGGAATAGGACTATGTGTTGTAAACAAGAATTAGAATAGCAAAGTGCAGATTATTCAGAAAGAAAATAATTTCTCCAATGGGTATTTTCATATTATTAAAGTATGTCTTGTGGAAATTTGGTAAAGCAAGAATAATATTGATTTGCATAGTGAAAATTCGATTACCTGCAATTTGATTCCCTTTGATGTGAAAAAAATCTCCACTGTTTAAATTTCCATATAAGAAAAGTCAAGAATTTCCATAGCAATGAAAAACAAAAAAACTTCAGAACTACTTTTTAACCTGGAGTTATTTACTGTTTTACCTATAGAATCAGCAAAACAAAATGTGCCTGTGATATATATATATATAATCCTTACAGTATTAGTTTTCTGTATACATAATTGATCTTTATTACAGTAATTCAGGACCCCATTTGACTTCAGAAATTTGACTTCAGAAATTCAGAAAATTTCCAGGCTACTGGAAAAAGTAAAAATAAGTAAGATAGATCAGGGGAACTCTCATGAATACATTTTCTTTCTTGATTCCAAATATTTTAATATGCAAAGCATATTGTTGATAGTACATATGGACCTAATTTATATAAGAGTTTAACCATAATATGATTTGTTATTTTGGGTTCAATGCTCTTATGACCCTATTTACTGTAGTCCCTCCAATATGGCATGTTTAAAGAAATCATGTATTAATGGATAAACATAATCATTGTCCTCCTTCCTTGTTTGTTACTTGGCCTATAGAAATCTGGATAAGCAAATGAAAACAAATAGAAAACCTAGCTTTTTGCTTCTATCTGGTAATTATCTGGAACATGTAATCCAGATAAGGTGCTGTCATTCTAGATGAACACGAATTTTTTCTCTCCATTAATTTTTATTTTATTTTATTGAAAGGCAGATACCTTTGTTTAAAGTATGCATTTGAGATAGTTGATAGAATGATTCAAACAAAGTGACTTCCAGTCTTGTGCAGTAGTGCAGCAGTCGAGGGGTTCAGGGTTCCATGCCCTTTGGTTGATTTTTTTTTCCTGTTAGGGGACCCTAAATGGGCCAGAAGCCTCCCCAAAGAGGTGGCAAAGAAGGAAGTCCTGGGGACCATGGAGAAATGGCGGTTGACCCGATCGGTCCAGGAGGAGCCTTCCAGAAACTAACAGGAGAAAGGCTAGCCTAACTTCAGAGTCTAGCCCAAGCTACAAGCAACCGAAGTCAAAAGTACTACTTTAAGCTGATTGTAAACAGCACATTTGTAAGAACATTGATTTTCTCTATCCTACTTTCCAGAAGAAAAAAAAATCCCAAGAAGCAAAAAACCTCCAAAAGTGAAGGAGGGGGATTTTTGCCCCATCCGTTTACTAATGGAAGTGCAAATTAAACCTTTTATGGAGGACCAAAACATATTGAAATGAAATTAAATGACTATAAAACTTAAATTTGGATAAGTTTGAAATTGCTGAATGGTTAAGATTCTCATTTTAAAGGCAATTGTTTATTTTTCAAATTTGAAAAATAAACCGGTGCTGACATATAGTGGTGGATGAAGACTATGACAGCTATGGTTTTCATATAGGACTTGGCAAAATCTGGAAAAAAATAATCTATGCTATCAAGAAAAAATAAATACCTTTCAAGAGGAGACATATGAT